TTGGAAGCCGGTTCAGATCGATCCTTCACCTGAGTGCTGTAGGACACAAACACTGCAGAACTGATGGAACAGGCCTATAATAATCCCGTTTTCGGCGGGGCAGGCCAGCAGCAGCCTCCACCGGATCCTGCCGGAACATCCGACACGGCCAGGCCCGACCCGGCCGGCGCTCACCATGAGGCCATGGAAACGGAGGACACACAAAATACCGGTGGGGTCGTTCCGGAAGGGCAGGGTGGGACCGGCGCGGCCGATGGGTCGGCGCCGGGTGGCCGCCTTGCGGACATCCTCGCGGGCGCATTCGCGCCGGACACCGCGGGTGGCCTGGCGGGCGCCGCAGGGATTACAGTCTCAGCAGACCCTGAGTCAATAGCGCGGCTTAATGCGCTCGCGCGCGTTTTCCGCGAGCCGGGCACGGCTGACGCCATTAATGCACTCATGGCGGCGCAGCAGCAGCTCACGACTCAGCGGCTGAGTGCGCCCTTCACCCTGGGATCATCACTGCCCCACATGCCGCCTCTGGCGGAGTACCCATCTGTGAAGGGCCAGACCTTTGAGTCCTGGTACGAGGCCGAGATGCGGCCTTGGCTGCAGCTAGTAGGGGGCAGGGCGCCCCGCGAGACCTGGGTGTCGTACACCCTGCGGGCGATGAAATTTGATCTCAGGCAGCGGGTGATGGCTTACATCCAGGCCTTAGGCCTTGACCCCATGACGCTAGAGTGGGAGCAGTTCAAAGCCATCATGTTCCAGCAGTCCTTCCTGCCCCACCCAAGCGAGATAGCAAAGCGTCAGCAGCTGATGAAGCCAATCAGTGCCGGCGCGGTGGCCAAGGCCAGCGCCTTTGATACCGTTGCCACCATGTCAGACCTCACCCGCCAGTTCCAGCAGTGCAACCCGCCGCCCAACACATCGTGCGGCTGGTGCCAGAGCACCATGGTAGCGATGGGCATGAACAAGCTGCCGCCCACGCTGGCTGAAATAGTGGCGGTGCACCCGCACAAGGGCGAATGGAAAACCTTCGCTGAATGGTCTAACTACGTGATTGACATTGCGCCCACGTGGCTGCACCAGCTGCAGCAGAAGGAGGCAGCCGCGCGCGCCCAGGCGCAGCTGCTGCAGCAGCAGCGGCGCCAGCAGCAGCGCCCCTATGAAAGCGGTGGGCGCGGCGGCGGCGGCGGTGGTGGCGGCGGTGCGCCGCCCCACCCTAAGCGGGGCTGGGACGACGCCGAGTACGGCGCACCCCCGGGAAAAGTCCGCAACTGGGAGGACTTCTCTTACCGCTATGAGAATGCCATCTGCTACGAGTGCAACTCCCCCGGCTTCACGCCAAGCCAGGGCTGCCTCGTTTGTGGCCACAAGCCCGTCTTCAAGCGCGGCGATGGCGGCGGCCGCGGAGGTCGCGGGCGCGGTGGCCGCGGCGATCGTGGCGGCCGCGGCGGCCGCGGGAGGCTGGGCCGTGGCGATGCTGGACGTGGCGACCAGCAGGTGTGCGGGGTGTTGATTGAAAATGATATTGACGACGCATCTGACATGCAAATTGATGAGCCTTCTCCTCCTATTGTTGAACCTAAAGTGGCTGCGCGCCACAGCCCATGCAAGGGCAAGGCTCACCAAGATGATTTGACTGATGAGCAGTTGGAAGATCTAATCGAGGAGTTTGTAGCTAATGATGAATTAGCTTTGTATGAACGCCAGCTGGCTGAGCGTAGACTGCAGCGTGAAGCCTCTTCGGCTGCTGCAGCCGTGACATGCGCCCAACACGGGGACGCTGCATCGCCGTCCGGCGACGCACCCCCCGGACATGATGTGATAATCGGCAGGCACATCCTGCCTGCTGAATTGAATGTTCTGTCTCAAAGGGCAGGTGTCAAGTTCACTCTTGATGCCACCGCACCTTGCCCTAAGTCGGCTGTTTGTGCACAAAGCTGCACAAGCTCAGAGTTTTTGCAACACCCAGTGAAAGGCAATCATGTGTGGATGTGTCCTGATGCCCCGCAGCTTCATGAGCTGCTTGATCATTACATGGCAGCAAAGAAAGATTCCCCTGATGATACCAGCCTATGTGTACTGCTGCCTAAGTGGATGGCCAATCGGCACCCACTTTTGAAATCCATGCAGCTAATTGCTGAATATGGAACAGGATACCACCTGTTCGGCCAAGGCAACAAGAGGTTGCCAGGCACAAAGTGGCCAATGCAAGCCTACTTTGACCCACCTGCGGTACCTCACAAGCCTGATAAACACGGCCAGCTGGCCATGCACTACAAGTGCTCTATTGCAGGGCGCAAGGCAACATGCTTGCTTGACACTGGTGCCCAGGGATCTCATTACGTAAGTAAGCGATTTTGCTTGCAGCACGGCATCGCCATCACTCCAACAACGGGCACAATCTTGACAATGCTTGATAAATCAACTTGTGAAGTGGTTGGAGAAACAACTGTTGCTGTGCACTTGCAGGGATACCATGACAGGTTGAAATGTGAAGTCATGGACATGGTTGGGGCCTATGATCTCATCCTGGGGAACGAGTGGTTGGATTCCCACAATGCGCTCATTGACATGGAAACTAAGCGCTGTACCATCTCCACTCCCCTGGGTCGGCTAACCTTGCAATCACAAAAATCACAGATAAATGAAGCCCCAGGCCCTGCAAATGACTCAGCTGCAACCGTCATCAG